CTTCCTCTTGTGCCTCCGGCGCTGCTTCCCGAAAACGTTCCCACTGTGAATGAGAAAGCGCGTCAGCCACCATATTCAAGAAACCTGGAACATGCCATGCCCTGAACACTATATTGCTAGACATACATAAAAGTACCAGGTGCCTTAATAACTGTATCACTGCAGGAGATGATGCCGACAACCCATTGATAGCCTGGACCACTGCCATGTTATCTGAGTAAAATACTACTTTTTTGTTTGCGAGCTGCTTTCTCCATAACGCCACCGCTACTACCACCGGGAAAAATTCTAGGAACGCTAGGTTCCTTATCAGCGAGCTCGTCTTCCACTCCGCCGGCCACTCCTCGGCGCACCATTGCCCCGCCAAATAAGCCCCAAACCCCACGCTCCCGGAGGCGTCTGTAAACAAGCCTATGTCCTTGGAGGAAACTCCCGGCTCCCGAAAAAACACTATACCGTTAAATTCCCTTAGAAACCTTTTCCAAACCCCCAGGTCCGCTCTCATATCCACCGAAACTTTCACGTAATGATTCGGCAACCGCACACCGCTCGTCGCCTGGGCCAGCCGTCGACAAAAAACTCTGCCCATCGGAATCACCCTGCATGCAAAATTAAGACTCCCCAATAGCGACTGCAGCCCTCGCAAAGTCACTTTTCTCGCATGCCACGCTGTGTCCACTAGCTGACAAAGCTTAAGTAGCTTGTCCGCGGGCAGTCTGCATTCACCTTTTACAGAGTCAATCTCCAGGCCGAGGAAACTAAGGCATGAGGTGGGGCCAACCGTCTTATCCCCTGCCAAAGGAACCCCAAAAGAGTGTGCTATCCATTGAAACACCCTCAATATCTGGCCACACCGCTCAGATCCTTCCGGCCCTACACACAAGAAATCATCGAGGTAATGCACGATTGATCCCCCAGCCGACTCCCGTCGTACCACCCATTCCAAAAAGGTGCTAAACTTTTCAAAATAGGAACACGAGATGGAACAGCCCATTGGTAAACACAGGTCTATGAAGAAACCCCCTTCGAAGAAGCACCCCAAAAGGTGGTGACAACCCGGATGAATGGGGAGCAGCCGAAATGCTGCTTCCACGTCCACCTTTGCCATCAGTGCACCGTGTCCCGCTCTCCGAACCAACTCGACCGCATGATCAAATGATGCATAGGATACGGAACACAGTGCCGTGTCGATATCATCATTTACCGATGACCCCCGTGGGTGCGATAAGTGATGTATCAGGAGAAATTTCCCTTCCTCCTTTTTAGGGACCACCCCCAGCGGAGACACCCTTAAATCTTCTATCGGCGGGGACGGAAACGGCCCCGCCATCCTCCCCATCTGGACTTCCTTCATTAATTTTTCCCGCACTACCCCCGGGTGGTCCCGGACTGATTTAAGGTTTCCCGGACCTTTGACCTTGAATGGGATAACAAAACCCTCTGTAAACCCCCGCCATAAGAACCTCGCCTCTTCCTGATTACTGTACTGCCTTAACCACGGCAGCATCGCGCCGACCTTCACTGGCGACGTTCCCAATCACCACCGCCGTGGCTGTTGTCCCTGCTGCACCCCCGAAGTTAGATTTTCCTTTCTTAAAACACCTGTTGACTCCATGATTTCCCCCGCATCCGGAACATTCATGTTTAAATCTACACGATGCCCCCCATTTGCACTGCCCTTCATTGAACAGCCAACAGAACCCCTTCTTCTGTCCGGCCGGTACAGCGCTTCCCGTGGCCGTACCGGCCGTCCCTTGAAAGGGCGCATTTTTCTGGGCCATCATTATTCTCATCCATAAAGGCAGGTCCATCTGATCCCACCTCATACTCGGATTCGCTGCCAACCGTTGGCGGAATTGTTCGTCGTACCGCCACCATGCTAATCCCCCATAAGTCCTGTAAGCGTCCCCTATCCCGTCCAAATAACAAAACAGCTGCGAACATCGTTCTGGGTGCTTTTCCCCGACTACGCTCGCCAAAATACAGAAGGCTCTGAGCCAATTCCCAAAAGTCTTGGGTATCTTCCGATACCGCCGCTTTTTCTCCTCTTCTTCTTTTTTAGCGTCCTTCTTATGCTCTTCCTTCAAGTCGAGAAATTCCTCGAGTGGAAGTAAGGAGAAGATTTCCATGAATTCCCCCTTCCCAATTTTTTCTTTTACCTCCGCTTTCAGGTGACATCCTAGTGGTCCCGCGAAGGACACATGCACGTTTTGCCGTGCCACGTCCGCTATCTCACCACCCCCGACCACCTGTTGGCCAGACCCGACTGCCTTTCCGGTTCCCGACTCACCGTCCCCCGTTTCGACGGCACCCGACTTGTGTGTCACCATCCTCTCCGCCCCTTGTTCTTTATCTCCCCCGTCCTCTGGCGACCATACCCTACCAAACTGCGGGGTTGACCCCTCATCTCCCACCCAGGAGTTAATGAAAGATTTTAAGCAACCCAATAAGGAACTAGTGTGTGGTGTACTTCGTGACTCACCGCCAGTGCCCCCGACCGTGGCCGGCCGCAGGGTTGCTGTCCTTCCGTCCGCCATTTCAGGCTCCGGAGACTCCTGTTGCCGCCGACTCCTTTCCGCCTAGCCTCTCCTCGAGACCGTAGGTGTCACGCTCCTCGACCTGCCGGGAAAAATTAACCTGGGTAGTCTGTCCACGTGTTGTCCTACCCGCCTTTCCTCCCGGCGTTCCTTCCTCCTGTCACTATCGCTACGCTGTCTCGCTGCCTGACCGTCCCGGCCGTAAGACCTCCTCTGCTGGTCCTTTAAACTCCCGCCCGATGAACTGGAAGCACTGCGCCTACATCTTAGCCTCCGTTCCCTGGTGCATGACCTCTGCCTGCTCCGGTGGCTCCTGGACTGGCTCCTGTCCCTGCTCCTCCCCTGCTCTGCTGACCTCCTCTGGGTGCTGCTCCTGTCCCCTTCACTGCGCCGCTCGCTACTCACTCCTCACCTCCTGGCCCAGCTCCTGTCCTGCTGCGCCTGAGAGCGGCCCATAGGGGGCTCCCGCTCGCCTCTGACCCCTCTGCATGTCTCCTTCCTCCTCAGCCCCTGCGGATCCTCCATGTCCCTGCAACCTCCTGTCGCTGACCTGCCGTCTCCTCTCCTCTCTCAACTTCCTGAGGGCAGGGATTCACCCCCCCTCGCAATTCCCGTCTGCCCGGAGATGCTGCTGCCCCTGTCACCGCTACCTGTCCTGGACCTATTCCCTGTGAGGGTTAAGCCCGTCCCTGACCTGCCATCTGCCTCTCCACCTGTCACCTGAGGGGGCGCTGGCATCGAGCTGTCCTCAAGCACCCCATCCTCCTGCCCCTCAGTATCGCCACTAGGGGCGGACTCACCGGGGCGCTGAAGTTCCGGACCATCACGGCCCTGCTGCCTGGCTGCCATCCCAGCTGTACAGGATCCAGCCGTGTCCTTCTGCCTCCCGCCCGCAGACTTGCGGCGGGGCCTTCTCCCACCGGCGGGCTTCCGACTAGCGCCCGCCCGGCGCACTCCGACTCTTGAGGCCCGTCCTTCCGCCTGGGCCGCCTTTTCCCCACTTTGCGGCGCTGGACTCCTCCTCCTCCTCGCCGCTGGCGGTGCTCCCGGGCTGAGTCGTTGGGGCAGACGTGCCCTCCTGGTCAGCCTCCTCTCCGACACCGCAGTGGGGGAAGCAGACGTGCTCGGGACCCCCAGTTGATCCTGCAGCCACGCCATCCCCTTCTCTTCCACCATTCTTCTCACACCAGCCAAGATTTCTTCGGCAGAAGCCATCCCTGCAAGAAAAAGAACAGACCACACAAACCTGACAAGTATCAAGTAAGTGTGATTTTGATTAAAAAGGCCAGCTCACCAAATTGGCTGTTATTTAAACCCTTATTCTCCTCCCCCCCTGTCCAGACATTACTTTTCCACACCCCTTGACCTTAACTTCACCTGCCAACTCTCTGGCCCTGTCAAGGCCCACTCCCCTCCTGTGTTGCTCCATGGGCTTCAAAACAAGAGTCCCTGGCAATCCATCCGTTCTGTTCTGCTTTGACTAATAAGGAAGTATTAGCCTGAGCAGCAATAGGCAGCTGTGATTGGCTGAGAGTGTCAGCTGACTGCTTTTAGCCTGTCAGAGTTCCAACTGACGGTATGAGTGTGTAAGACAATAAGGAAGTGTGTAATCTCTGCCTTAGCTACACATACTGAAGGGGCCGGATTGTGGGTGGCCAGGGACTCTTATTTTGTGGCATACTGAAACATAGAAACATAGAAACATAGAATGTGGCGGCAGATAAGAACCATTCGGCCCATCTAGTCTGCCCAATTTTCTAAATACTTTCATTAGTCCCTAGCCTTATCTTATAGTTAGGATAGCCTTATGCCTATCCCACGCATGCTTAAACTCCTTTACTGTGTTAACCTCTACCACTTCAGCTGGAAGGCTATTCCATGCATCCACTACCCTCTCAGTAAAGTAATACTTCCTGATATTATTTTTAAACATTTGTCCCTCTAATTTAAGACTATGTCCTCTTGTTGTGTTAGTTTTTCTTCTTTTAAATATCGTTTCCTCCTTTACTGTGTTGATTCCCTTTATATATTTAAATGTTTCAATACTAAATGGAGGGACAGTGCACTCCAGGCACTATAACCAATTCAAAGAGATGAAATGCTTATAGTGACTACAGTGTCTCTTTAAACTAAAGTTTTTTTTGTTTTTTTTTTGCTCTCAAGTCACTTTATTGGAGCAAAGTGGACACCACAACCTTTTGACCCATGCAGGGGTCTTTTTCAAGCTATTTCACACCATAAAACATACACCATTTAAAGACAATGAAAATTGTACAATAATGCAATAAAACAATAAATAATAGCAACTCTCATAAGTACTTACTATGTGCTGACTTGATGCATGTGGTGCAAGCTAAAGTTGTTTTGGTGCCTATAGAATCCCTTTCAATGTTAATTTATCTTTGAATTATCTTTGAATTCCTGGTGGTCTTTTTTTAATAATGCAAACTATGTGTCTTTGCGTTAAATATTTACCTTGTGTTTATAGTTGTATTTTCCTGCATTTAATTCACGATGATCCACATGTGAAGACAAATACATTCTATGCAAAGCAAGTGCCATGGCATACACAGCATAAACCACAAAATAAGGTTGTGAATCATGTGAAATGCTAATAATATCCTTAAATCTTTCTCTTCCTGTACAGTTATGAAGTGTTTTTCTATTTACTGTAGTATGAAATTCATTCTTATCATGGTTTGGCGAGTTACATTGAAAGAAACGTATCCATAAGTCTTCTAGTAATGGATCTTTTGGACGATTCACAGGGTTAACATTATTAAACTCTATCTTAATTTTGGAAATTACATTTATTGAAGCAGTAAAAGTCAAACTGCCATCAATTAGTATTCCAAATTTCCAAAAAGTCAAAGCATAGAGCCATGACATATTAATTAATAGGGTTATATTTTTCAAGATTGTTAAAGAGTTATATATCATATAAGCACAAAACTCAGCACATGATCCACATGTTATTAGAACCTGGGAGGTTGCTTTTTCAATAATATTCATGTCTTTGTATTTCCCTTTATCCTTTTTATCAGGCATTGTTATGGTATACTCAATGCAGATCCCGTGACTGGTGAGCTCTTGGCTTAGCTCCCGGAGTTCCCTCTCTCCACTTTCATCCTCCGATGTGATTATTCCAACCCAGTTCCATCCAAAAAATTTCAGCATTTTCACAATAGCTGCATGATGAGTCCGATCATCCTGAACTGTCCGGAAGAAGTATGGATAAAGTAATCTGTCACTAAGCTGCGTGTCAGTCGCTCCGTAGCTGATCTATATCGGTTGATACAATATTTATATAGAATTATTACATTACTTTGGCATTTTTACATACAAAATTAAGAGATTTGACTAATATCAATAAACAATCTCCATCTTCTGAAATTTATGAAAAAATATTAGAACTTAAAGAAAAAATAAAGCAAAAATTAATGGACACGATAGCTAAAAATATGGTTAAACTAAAATTTAAATATTATTCCAAAGGCAATCGAGCTGAAAAGATGCTATCCCAAAAACTTAGAAAACAAAAAGTACAAAATAAGGTAGACAAAATAATACAGAACGGAAAAATAGCACTAACCCCCAGAGAGATTGGAAAGTGTTTTAATGAATATTATTCCAATCTATACAATATTCCTCAGATTAATACAGATGAGGATATTAAAAACTATTTAAATAATATAAAGAAGCCTCAATTAACTTCTATTGAAAATGATTTCTTAAATAAACCTATAACTATGGAGGAGACTATGAAAGCAATAAATGATTTAGAAAAATCTAAAACACCAGGCCCGGATGGGTTTAGCAACCTATTTTATAAAACATTTAAAGATTTAATATGTCCACATTTGACCTCTGCTTTTAACATAGCGGCAAACAGAGGATTTTTACCAGCAGAGATGCTAAAAGCTAATATCTTGCCTATTCTAAAAAATGATAAAAACCCCACTGATATCAAAAACTACCGTCCGATATCTTTAATAGATGTTGACACTAAGTTATACGCTTCGGTTTTGGCTGCTAGAATAAAAAAACTTCTTCCACTAATCATCCATAAAGATCAAATAGGATATGTTCCAGGTAGAAATTCCTATACAAGTATAAGGAAAATTATTAATATCTTGGATGATGCAAATAGATATGATGTTCCAGTTCTGACTCTGTCGATTGATGCTGAAAAAGCATTCGACAGAGTCAGCTGGAAATATTTAGAAGCCGTTTTACAACATTATGGATTGGAAGGTTGGATTAAGAAAGCTATAATGGCACTATATGTAAATCCTGTTGCACGAACTATTGGACCTAATATAGTCGCCCCATGGTTCCAACTTAGAAATGGTACCCGACAGGGTTGTCCCCTCTCACCATTGCTCTACTTGCTGACTATTGAGCCATTGGCTGAGAATATTAGGAATAATAAAGAGATCCATGGTTATAAAATAATGGATGAGGATCAAAAAATTAGCTTATATGCTGATGACATTTTAATTACTCTTACAAACCCTAAAAATTCTTTGGAACGCATAATGCAAGAAATAGAGCGATATAGCTTCATATCAAACTATAAGTTAAATATAAATAAATCCTTGATACTAGATGTTAACCTAAATAAAAGAATACAACGAGAGATTAAAAACAAATATGATTTTATTTGGGTTAAAGAAAGTATGGATTACTTAGGAATTAAAATAACCAGAGAGACAAATAAGATTATGGAAGTAAATTTCCTAACATTATTATTAGATCTTAATAAATGGTTAAAAGATCGCAGAAACCTAGAGATTACTTTTTTGGGGCGAATAAATGTTATCAATTCATATGTTATACCAAAGTGGAATTATATGTTTCAAATGTTACCTCTACATATCCCAATCCATTGGCTTCAATTAATACAAAGAAGTTTTACTCAATACATCTGGAAAGGCAAGAAGCCGAGATTGAAACAGTCAATATTAGCGCAGAAAATATATAAAGGTGGACTTGATTATCCACTTATAATGAATAACTTTAAAGCAGCTATTACCCTACATGTCTATAGAATGCAAATGAAAGAAAATAAAGATGAGGGATGGTATAAAATGGAATTGAAGGCAGGAGAAGTTTCTAGCTTAGATTGTTTAATCTGGAATATAAATAAAATGCCAAAGAAAAAAGAATATGCCAGTATTATTCTAACTCAATTACTGGAAAATTGGTTAAAAATTAAAAAAGTAATGAATATAGAAAAAAAAGTTCCAAGTTATTTAGAGTTAGATATCGTAGAAAAACAAGTGGAAGACTTAAACTTAAATAATTGGAAAAAAGTAGGGATAACGACTCTGGACCAATTATTGACAGAAGGATTAATTAAAACCTTTGCTCAAATAACAGAGATACACAATCTCCCTCCTAGAGAGGTGTTTAATTTTTTAAGACTTAAAAGCTATATAAATACACATCTAATAATACCAAAATCTAATTTAAGCAATTCGATAGATTTATTATTTACATCAAAAAAAGTTAATAAACCACTTTCTAAAGCTCTAATACTAATTAAATCAATAGCTGAAGACACAAATTCTACTGCCATACAGGCTTGGAAACAAGACTTGAATATCGATATAAATCTGAATCAATGGGGTTCTTCAATGATGGATGTTAAGAAGAATATACATTCATTAAATTTATTAGAAACGCACTTTAAAGTTTTAAATAGGTGGTACTTAGTACCAGCTAAATTGAATAAAATTTACCCTCTAGTAAATCCTATCTGTTGGAGATGCAATAGTATTAGAGGCAATTTTAGACATATTTGGTGGGATTGCTATAAATTAAAAAATCTCTGGTTGAAAATGCAGCATTTTATATCTAACAATTTAAAACTCGAGTTGATTATCTCTCCAGAGGTAGTTTTACTTCATCTAAATTGGCCTCATATGACATATGAATTAAAAGCAATCCTTATACATCTGTTTTTAGCGGCTAAAATAGTAATTGCGAGATGGTGGAAAAGGGATTTAGAAGTCCCCTGGAAGAAAGTTAAAACTCAACTCGATTTTCAGATTAGAATGGAGCTGATGCTAAGTAAACAAAGACTAAGCAATAAGATTTCTATTTGGTTAAAGTGTATTGAGATGATTGATGTATAAAATAGTGTCGTTCAATTAACAGTAGAACAATTCCATGAACACTGCAAATAATTATGAGATTTATCTAAATGATATTACCACTCTATTATGGAAGTCTTTCTGATGTATTTTTCTTCTCCCTCCCCTATTTTGCTGCTGTGTTGTTTGTTTGTATTACAAATGTATATTTGTATGATATTTGTATTTGATGAGATTTAAAAGAAAAAAATTTAAAATAAAGATTAAATATTCAAAAAAAAAAAAAAAAAGAATTATTACATTTTTATTTTTTAAGGAAAATACAAAACCATTCAATTATTTTCTATATACAACCACACAAAACATACATGTATATTTTTTTATAAATTATCTTTATATCTTATTAGCCTCTGAAAAGTCTGAAATACACAATGTTTCATTTGATTTGCAGTTTATGATTTAATTTTTATTCTTCCCTTTTTTGTGTCTATTTACATATTCACAGAGAGGCCTCAATTTAAACATTTTGGATAAGCTTTTCAAATCATTCTATTTAAAAAAAATAAATGTTTGAATTATTTAATATTTTGAAAAATACAGTATTAATATCTTAATATCTTATTATTTTTGACATGCTGATTTTTTTTTTAAATGTCATTTAGATGCCATTTTTTCATGATATTGTAATATTTGAAAATAAATATCCCAAAAATATGAAGTCATTTGAAAAGCTTATGAAAAAATATTAAACCAAAGCTAAAATTGGACTGGGACTTCCACTTCTCAATAGCACTTGCTGCCATTTAGTTTCAGCTCATTCCCAAGGCAGATTAAATAACTGATGTCTAGGAGTAAACCTCCCTAATTAGAGAAAGCACTGATCATGGACAGCTTTATGGAAATTTTGGTCAACCTTATCCAAATAACACATGGTGCTGTTTTTCTAAGTGAAAGAAATTAAAGGGACACTATAGTCACCAGAACAACTATAGCTTATTGAATTTGTTCAGGTGCGTATGATCATTACCTTCAGGCTTTTTGCTGTAAACACTGTCTTTTCAGAGAAAATGCAGTGTTTGCATTACAGCCTAGTGATAACTTCACTGGCCACTCCTCAGATGGCTGTTAGAGATTCTTCCTTGGTCATGGCTGCATAAAATGCATCCAAACATTCAGTATGTCCACCCTCTGCATGCAGACACTGAACTTTCCTCATAGAGATACATTGATTCAATGTATCTCTATGAGGAGATGCTTATTGGCCAGGGCTGTGTTTGAATTGTGCTGGCTTTGCCTCTTTGTCAGTCTCAGCCAATCCTATGGGGAAGCATACAGTGAGATTTTGCTATATATTTATGGAGGCATGAGGGGCCCAGGGGGGCTAGATGGTGGTTTTAACACTATAGGGTCAGGAATACATGTTTGTGTTCCTGACCCTATAGTGATCCTTTAAAGGTGGGATTTTTTTCACATAGCACTTTGCACTGATTGACCACGTTTTTGTTTCACCTTGAATTTCATTTAATTCGTAATGGGGAAGAGCTATGTGGGAGTGTGGGGACTTGTAAATACAGCGGCAGGAGCCTGGAGCTTTTTCCATTCATAGCTATAGGGAGAAACAGTCTCTCTAATAAGCTGTTGAGGGGCTCTGGGACAGTGGCGTCGCTGGGTGGGGCAGAGGGGGACATGGCCCCCCTACTGTGCTGTGCCCCCCCCAAAAAAAATACCGGCAACTTGCTGGGTGTTGTCTGTGGTTGGGTGTTGTCTGTGGTTGTCTGTGGCTGGAGGGAGCACTGACAGGCTCCCCAGCACAGGTCCTGCCCCAAACAAAGCCCTGCCTAACAAACATAAGCCCCACCCCGCCGTTAAGCAGTAGACCAAGGCCAGAAGATGGCTGGCTGACCGCCCAGCAACAGACTCCAGTGACAGGTAGGCTTGATATGCTCAGGTGTGTGTGTGTGTATGGACTCAGCAGTCTATGTGTGTGTGTGTGTGTATGGACTCGACAATCTGTGTGTGTGTATGGACTCAGCAGTCTGTGTGTGTGTATGTATATGGACTCAGCAGTCTATGTGTGTGTGTGTGTGTGTGTGGACTCAGCAGTCTGTGTGTGTATGGACTCAGCAGTATGTGTGTGTGTTTGGACTCAGCAGTCTATGTGTCTGTGTGTGTATAGACGCAGCAGTATGTGTGTGTATGGACTCAGCAATCTGTGTGTGTGGATGGACACATCAGTCTATGTGTCTGTGTGTGTATGGACTCAGCGGTCTGTGTGTGTGTGTATATGTATGTATGGACTCAGCAGTCTTTGTGTGTATGGACTCAGCAGTATGTGTGTGTATGGACTCAGCAGTCTATGTGTCTGTGTGTGTATGGGACTCAGCAGTCTGTGTGTGTATGGACTCAGCAGTCTGTGTGTGTATGGACTCAGCAGTTTGTGTGTGCATGAACTCAGCAATCTGTGTGTGTGTGTATGGACTCAGCAGTCTATGTGTCTGTGTGTGTATGGACTCAGCAGTATGTGTGTGTATAGACTCAGCGGTCTGTGTGTGTGGGGGGGTGTGTGGACTCAGCAGTCTATGTGTCTGTGTGTGTATGGACTCAGCAGTCTGTGTGTGTATGGACTCAGCAGTATGTGTGTGTGTCTGTGTGTGTATGGACTCAACAATATGTGTGTGTGTGTATGGGCTCAGTAATCTGTGTGTGTGTGTATGGACTCAGCAGTCTGTGTCTGTGTATGTATGGACTCAGCTGTCTGTGTGTATGGATTCAGCAGTCTGTGTGTCTGTGTGTGTGTATGGATTCAGCAGTCTGTGTGTTTGTGTGTGTGTGTGTGAGGACTCAGCAGTCTCTCAGTGTGTGTATGGACTCAGCAATCTCTGTGTGTCTGTGTGTGTGTATGGACTCAGCAGTGTGTGTGGACTCAGCAGTCTGTGTGTGTGCATATGGACTCAACAGTCGGTGTGTCTGTGTGTGTGTATGGACTCAGCAGTGTGTGTACATGTATAAATCAGGGTGTGTGCATTCAGCAATGCCTGTATGCATTAGGAAATCTGTGTGTGTGTGTGTGTATTCAACAGTCTCTCTGTGTTCATATTCAGTGTATGTACTCAGCAGTCTAACAATAATTAAAAATTTTATTCCTGTGAGTTATTGTGTAGGAAGGACCCCAGTGCACTGCTTTGCCTTGGGGCACATGACACTGTTAAGATGGTACTGCTAGTGTGTCAGTGAGCTTCTATTTAGTGAGCATGTGTGTGTCAGTGAGCTTGTCTTTAGTGAGCTTGTGTGTGAGTCAGAGAGTTTTGTTTGTCAGTGAGCCTGTTTGCACATGTTAGTGAGCTTGTGTGCTTACTGTAAAAAAAAATAATGTATATATATATATATATATATATATATATATATATGTATGTGTGTCAATATATATTTAATGACTTGTAGGAATGGCATACATTTTTTTTTCCAGGGCTGCTTTGGATTCTCAGTTTGGCTCTGCCAGCGAGTGCGCTTTATCGCTGAATCATCTGTATGAGCTGCCACACACTTTAGCACTGTTACACGCGTCTGGGAGCTGCTGTTGGCAGAAACTAGTAGTCTAGCGATTGGGACATGCGGTAAATGCTCAGTTATCTGTATAATACTGTAACGGAACCTTCCGTTAATGGAGGCTTCCTAGCTTGCACGGGGACCACAATCACTGCACCTGACACCACAACCACCGCAGACACCACAACCGCCGTAGGTTAACTGGAGTCTAACCGTCTTCTTTCCACCCTGGATTAGCTTCTATCCTCCAGGATCGTGTGGGGAAGACCTCTCCTCCAGGAGAGCGTAACAGGAACAGCTCTTAAAAGAGCTAAGTGATTAAAGCTCAAGGGAGTTTGCAGAGCATAGCAATCCCCAGTGTGATTATAGCAGTTACCTCCAATAACGAGACAAGGCTACGTATTGAGGGTCAAGAAGATCTGTATTACTTGGCACCAAAGGGCCTTCTTTTATGCAGGTTTTCCAAATACAGTACCACCCACAGGGTTTTGTAAAACAACCAATAAAGCACGTAGCATACAGTAAAACCACACCCATTCACTCCCACAAAATCCTCCCCTCTGCCTGTGATATAATTATGATACATAATGCTTAACATAATTAACACAGGCAGGAAAAATACAGTTTTTATACATGTGCTATAACTTTAAAAAATATACGTCCAATCTTCATAAATTACATACTCAGATTCAGCACACTTTAAATGTAAACACTCTGAAAAATCAGACAAATCCATCCAGTGGATAAAAAGTTAGCCGGAAGTCCTTTATGACCGACCGCAAGCACATTTTCCTGCCCAAAACAGTTCCATAGATTTGGGCTGTGCGGTCAGTCTATTTCAGGCCGAAAAAATGGGACTTCGTCTCTGCGGCTGAAAGTTCAGTGTTACACAGTCTCCGTTCCATAGGCTGGTTATATTGTACTGTACACTTCTGTTTATTGAGACTGTAACGGCACCCTCAGCATCAAATAGACAAACTGCCGTTTAGTGAATCCTCCCCTCTCACCATAACGCAAGCTTCATTCGTATCAACTGCAATCATACGAATTGCAAGCAGGGGAATGTTCCAATCTCCCGAACGGACCCATACGGGTACTTCACTTCCCGATCAGCAAACCCACGAATCGCCGCTAGTAGCCAAACTCATATATCTCCCAAGCGGCTAATATTCCCATCCGGCAGTCTCTATTCGTTGGTAATAAATC